CTTTGTTCAATAATGGGGGTGTGCGATAGACTTACCTCCACGTGGTGCACCCTGGGCAACGTATATTCATACGGCAAAAATGTCTATTAACTGGCAGTTGACTTCTCACTTCAAACTACCACCACCTCACTCTATGCCATATTCGACTATTTCCACAGTACTCTTCTTACCTTTTTCTACCTTTGTGTTTGTCTCTTACATCTTTGAAACACTCTTCTGTCCCCCCACCTCTCGACTTTTTTCAATTTGATGTTCCTTCTCCTCTGTGATGTCTGAAGTCAACTAAAGGGCTAATGATAACCATCAAGACGCCTGCCATTTGATATAAATAAATAAATAAATTGTTCAATAATGAGAATGTAATAAGTACTTATTTATTTCAAATGGCCGGCATTATGGATAGCCCTTTAGCTGACTTCGGGCTTCACAGAGGGGAAGAACATCAGAGTGAGAAAAAGTCGAGAGGGGAAACAGAAAAGTGATTCAAGGATGTAAAGGCGATATACAGACACAAAGGCAGAGAAAAGGTAAGGTGAGTACTGTGAAAGTGGTGGAATATGACATACCGTGGGGTCATGATAGTTTGAAGTGAGAAGTCAACTGCCGGTTAATTGACTTTTTGCCGTATGAGTATACGTTTCCCAGGGTGCGCCACGTGGCGGTAAGTCTATCGCACTCCCCATGTAATAAGTATTGTGAACTGAAAACTAAGAAATACAGGGCTATGAATCAGTATGCACTCGATGTCACGACTTGTAAAGAGCTTGCTCGGTGGTTTAGGCGGAAAATATTATTACCAAATTCCAATCCACTTAGGCTTCTTTGAAATTAATTTTTATCTCATTAACTTTCTATCACTGTAAGCAACCTATCATGTCTGGAATTACTTTGTACTAGCTATTTTAACGCTTATTGCTTCATTACCTTCAATCCAGAATAGAGAATTGAAAAATAAGCATTCCAAATCATTATCTTATGTACTAGGTAAAAAGTAGTGATTGTAGAAACGAAAAATTGTTATCTAGTCACGAATGGTGGAATTTCCGTGAAGTTTCTAACTAGTAGTCTTATTTATTTTAGCCCTTTCTGGCCTCTTTGGGAACGAATCCAATGTCAAGGTCGAGTATTGCACCCCCTCCGGGATCAGAAGCTGAGAGGACAATGCTCAGTTCAGAACTCTATAAGGTTGTTTTAGCCGTGGGTGGTTGTGAATTGAAAATAGACTGGCCGAAGGTCTCATGGGCTCTTCCCAAACAGCCTCTATTTGTTGCCCCGGTGGCTGATGAATTTGGCGACACAAGCAGTCCCTATAGTCGAGTAAGTTCAACTGCCAAATTACCGATCTGTAGTGTTTACACCTTAATAAAATATAACATTATTTTTCTCCCTCAGGTTCGAGAGGTGATTTTAAAGAGGTTGGAGGATAACCAATTTGTCACATTTGGATATATCAGACAGAAACTCATAGAAAGTGGGTTAAAAATTACTGATAACAATCTTAGAACTACTATCAAGGTAATTGTGTCTAATATCCTTTTAAGTCCTCTATTACGTGTATACCCTAATATTTATTTATGTTCCATTTGTTATAGAGATACTGCATCTACCGCCAATCAAAGTACTTTCTGCGCTACACAGTTGACGAAAGGCCATAGAAATATTGTGCCAATAATTTATTCCCTGAATGGATGTAGCTTATGTTCTTCTGTGTGTATCTTTGATAAAAGTTGTAATTTTGATTTTGTTCTTTATCTTTGAAGGGTATACTGTTTTAATATTGTATTGGATTGGAATAGTTAGTTATCTAAAAGTTAGCCCTTTGTTGTGTGGAATGGACCAAGTTGTGAGCGGTTCGAAATGTCTTGTTGATAGCGTGGCTGTTAAGTTGATGTCGGTTTAAAAGTAAGGACATTTAAATCGATAGGTGAGATGGTAAAGGAAAATTTGGAAAAGAGATGCGTCGTACCGCAGCTATTCCCCAGTCTATATCATGATTTTTACCAATCATCGCTGCTAAAACGGATCAAAGAGGGTGGGTGTTGAATTTTTGCTTGAAATTCTCAAAGGGAGATTCGATGGGATCGAAATTGATGGTGGCTGGTAACAGCGTGCGCATTTAATCAAAGTAGATATATGTCATAAATGAAAGAAATACGGAGCATCACTAGCATTATAGGAGAATGAAAAAAGTCGCATAAGTAGCTTATTACTCCCAAATAAGTCATTTGAGGACACTTAACAGATCTAAGTATGTGCGAAATTGAGCGCAAGCGTTCGTATCGAAATTGTTCCTAAAATAAGTGTTATTAGTAAGTTGCTGCATCCACCAATTTTCTTCATGTATTTCTGATTTTTTGTCATTTCAAGTTCAAGATTGGTGAACGACAGCGAAACGCATAGTCAAACGAATTCCAGCCTTGCAAATCAAATCGATTTGTTCCATGGGTAACTGCTATGTAGTGGCTTAAATCATTGACAGAGCAATAGATTTTCACCACTGTTCCTTTATTCAAAAGGCATATCAGAGAGATCATATTTTGACTTTGGTAAAGACTATTATACCACTGTCTTTTATGACTCTCTTATACTGACTCTCGCTAAGAATTATATTTTAATGCTAGATATGAAATTGATATGATCGGTAATTCGAAGTGATAACTGACACTATTCTGTTAAACTATGGGTGACCTCTGACTTCAAACTACCGTCATCCCACTGTATGTCATATTCGACCACTTTCGCAGTATTCACCTTTTTCTCTTCCTTTGTGTCTGTCTATTTCTTTTGCATCTGCGAATCGCTCTTCTGTTCCCCACTCCTCGACTTTCTGCTACTTTGATGAACCTACCCTCTTTTAAGCTTGAAGTCAGTTAAATGGCTAATGATAGTTATCAAATAGCCTGCCATTTGAAGTGAATAAATAATTCTGTTAAACTAATTAGTGTTTGCTCGGAGATTGTATTTTTGATTTTCGTCATTTTAGATCGTGTCAAGGTTTTATTGGTCCATCATGNGGGGTGTGCGATAGACTTACCTCCACGTGGTGCACCCTGGGCAACGTACACTCATACGGCAAAAAAGTCTATTAATCGGCAGTTGACTTCTCACTTCAAACTACCATCACTCCATTGTATGTCGAATCCAACCACTTTAACAGTACTCACCTCACCTTTGTTCTACCTTTGTGTTTGTCTCTTGCATCTTTGAAACACTCTTCTGTTCCCCCCCCCTTCTCCACTTTTTGTCACTTTGATGTTCCTTCCCCTCTGTGGAGCCCGAAGTCAACTAAAGGGCTAATGATAAATATCATAAAGCCTGCCATTTGATATAAATAAATAACCAGAGGTGGGATGCGCGATAGACAACCCCCCCCCCCTCCTACGTGGGACATCCTGTCCAACGTATACTCACATGGCAGTTGACTTCAAAATGCTATGACCCTACTGTTTGTCATATTCGACCTACTCCACAATACTCTGCTCACCTTTTTCTCCACCTTTTTAGTCTTTCTCTTTTACAACTGACCCCACTCTCCACTTTCTGGGACTGATGTTCCTCCCCTCTGTGAGGCTAGAAATTAACTAAAGGGCCAATGATAATCATCATAAAGTCTGCCATAAATAAATAAACGGAGACTAGATTCCAGTTTACGTCCACTTATGACGTTTTTCTAAGTAGAAAAGTCGTTCAACCCTAAAAGCAGACAGCGAACACTCAAAGCAGATATTGCATGCTGTATAATTTTCATCAAGCATTTTTAGTACATAATACCGGGTTTTTAGAAATCCCGTGGTTATTTTGGGGTTAAAATTTAAAATGCAGTCTTACGGCTTTTCTCTATTTGGCACTGAAACTCTCTACAAGATGAGTCATTCGACATGCATAATACGTGGGCGGTTATTTGGTTCCAAAACAACTTTCATGAAATGGAATTTTCCGTTTGACAGCCACGAGCGCACTTTCGGTAAACCCCGGTATATGCAAGATTTACAATACTCACTGACCAATATAACTTTAATGCAACAACTGCCAACTTAATTGATATGAAAATAATCAATAGTAAGAACTTGATTTAACTAAAACAAAACTTATACGAACCTGGATCAACTTCCACTGGCGTGCATTCAGCAAATCCATCTCCCTTAAAACCGGGTTTGCATTGACAAAGGCCAGCCTCGCATTCGGCATTCTCTGCACACTGAACTCTCGTGCAAAGATCTGCGATTAGAAAATCCGAGTCACATATTTAAACAAAATCAAGCAATTTTTATACATCTCCCCCTCCTACCTTCTTCAACCTTTTTACACACTGTTGTGCCATCACCAACATATCCGTACTCACAGAAGCAAACTCCATTATAACAACGAGCATTTTGATGGCAATAGGTGTTTCCGCAAAGTTCCTGCTTTGTAGCTGAATTGAGAGAGAGATAAATGTGTTAGGTAGGCATCTGAAGTATATATCCAAGCATTTATAAATCCAACGAACTTACAGGTTTCAGTGCAAACGTAGTAGGCATCTCCTTCATAGCCCACTTTACAGACACAAACACCCCGATCACAGACTGCATTCTGGCCACAGCGTCTTCCACCGCACTTTTCTGGATCTAAGATACCAAAAAAAACAGTCATTATATGAGCATGAGGTGATCGACCTACCTTCGACACGTTCACAAATTCTGTTGGGGTCTCCACTATACCCAGGCAAGCAGACACACCGGCCATCGTTGCATAGAGCATTCGCACCACATTGAATGTTTGCACAAGCGCCTTTAAATATGGGACATAAAATAAATATTAACAAAACAGTCAGAAATGAGTCGGGGGTGTGATGTTGGATATTCATACCCTGATAGTAACAGTTGACAAAGCCATCTCCAGAGTAACCAGCATTGCAACGACAGTAACCATTCTCGCAGAAGGCATTTGCTGCGCATTGGACACCGTCGCAACGATCTGAGTGTGGAAAAATATTTCTAATATATTAAACCCACTACTGATTACTTTTGCCAGTAGCAACTTCATCCTGCAACATAAGTGGCGCTTACAAAGGAACTCGAAATATTGCAGAATGCACTAAAATAATTGATAGCTTTCATATTTTTTGTCAAATTAATTAAAATTATACTTGAAAGAATTTTTAGTGATTACTAATTCTTACAATTTTCAAAACCTTTTTTTGTATAAAATGAGCAGAAAATTGTCAGTTTTCAAACCGATATAGACAATCATTTAATTCGATTATTTATTTCTCAGACTATGGTGGGCACTTAGCTTTCTTTTTTTAAATCAGAAACATCTGTTTTATTTCTAAATTAAAGAGCCACTTAGTTGCAAACCGTACCGCTTATTCGTTCACATCTAGTATAAGGATTGCCTTGGTAGCCAGTCTCGCAGATACAGACTTCATCTCGACAATAGGCATTCACTCCGCATCGTTGTCCTTTACAATTTTCTGCAAAAAACATTTTGAGTTACAGATGTGTGAGAAGTGTTTCAGCGTGTGGGTTAAAAAACAACAAGCATGGTTGATATTGATACCTCCAGTACGGCACTCTCGTTGTGGATCGCCTTCGTAACCAGGTAGACATTCACATCGGCCATCGATACATTGAGCATTCTGGCCGCAGGTAACTCCTCGACACCGATCTACAATAATTATGGCAACTTGAAATAGCAACGCAGTTATGCGCCCCCCAATATTTCGGCATTTGAATGAAATCAAGATGCATTAACAGTCGCGATGTGGCGCGATTGCACTCATGCGCATCACATTCCGAGATGTTTCTTTCACAATCCTTCATGTCACTTACCCTCTAACCGACAGTCAACAATGGAATTGCCTTCATGACTCACTGAGCTGAAGCCGCTATTGTGTTCACATTGAACACCCTTTCCATAGTCTAATGGATTTTCAGATGATAATAGATATATGTATGCATGTATGTATGTATTCAATAGTATCCATGACCAATGAATATAAGTGAACTTACAGGCGTTGATGTTCACTTGAATCTTTATACACTCCCCAAAGGAATCCTCAATAAAACCTGGTTCACAGACACATTGTCCATTTAAACAAATTGAATATTTTGGGCAATTCACCCCTTCGCAAACATTCAGCATAGTTCCTGGATAGTTAGGAAAATGGATTAATGAGTTGACTCGTATTTAAGTGTTTAGTAGTCATGCCTCGTAATGTCCGAATAAATTATGCACTCCAAAGCCCATTCCTCTGATGATAGTGAATGAATAGTCTTGTCTGACCACGCCTACTTACCATTATGCCACTTGGAATACTGATCCCCGGAAAAACAAACTTCACATTCACGCATTCCGTAAGCACACTTGGCGTTCTCGCCACACAGAAAATGGAATGTGTGCGTTGAAGGGTTATATATGGGACGGTGGCGCATACCCTATTCTTTGCATTTCAAATGAAAGTATTTCCGACTCAAATAGTACGTCACATGAAAACTTTAAAGTAAACCTTGAGACTTATTCACAAAGTGTATTTAAACAAAATGCAATATTGCAATGACTGTACTGTGAACGCTTGAGACTTAAGCCAATAGAATTGAAGTTATTCCGCCTATTACATCGAAATATCCGATTATTTGGGGTCAGAAAATTGGGGAGTACGCTAAGATAACGCTAAAATGATTCATGCAAACTCTAATAACACGGCCATGACCATAATCACCTAACAACCAACCTCGTCACTGGTAATGGTCCTCATCTGTTAGTCGTTTATCTTGAGAAAAGTTGCCTAAGTTGGAGTGGAATATCTTAATAAGCACTAACATGTCAGAAATTTGATGTAATTCCCAAGCTAACTGACTTTTTCAATGCCATGACAGATTATCGTTCAACTACTTACAAACGCAAATACCACATACCCACGTTCAGAATTAAACTTACCAAGTTTACATTCAAAATTATGATCGTCATTATATCCAGGCCCGCATTTATAATTACCATTCACTCACCAAGCGTAATTGCCACATCGAACATTCTGGCATGCATCTAAAGTATCAGCATGATCAACAGAATCAGAGCACAACAGCTCAACAACTCTTCACAACAACAGTCGAAAGGAAACATCGAGAGAGGGAGAGAGAGAGAGAGTGGAGAAAATCAAACTTATTATGGATCACATCAACTAGGGACAAACATTTACTACGAGAACTGAGACACAACTAGATTACCTTGAGGGTCGATCGGTGTTAAGAAATCACCTTCAACTAGAGAAGAAGAAGTCCATCAAGTCCATCAAAACGCGAGTCTTTGATCATGAGTCCAACACTCGTGATCGTTTTAGGAAGACACACTTACCACTGTCATCTGGAACGCAATCTCTGTAAGGGTCTCCAAAGGTTCCCGGCAAACAAATGCAACTCCCATTAACACAAATGCCAAATTGAGCGCATTGTACATTCTTACAGGGATTTTCTATTAAAAGTTGACGACAGATGATGTGAACTTAGGATCGCTACTTAACTATAAGGCTAGGAGACACACAGAATAGAAAGAAAAACAAATAAACAAACAGAAATCTAGATAAAGACATTCACAGTGTAAACCGAGCAGGTCATGCAAAACATTTAAGGCCTGTGAGGATGGAGAACACGCAAGGNGCATAGTCAAACGAATTCCAGCCTTGCAAATCAAATCGATTTGTTCCATGGGTAACTGCTATGTAGTGGCTTAAATCATTGACAGAGCAATAGATTTTCACCACTGTTCCTTTATTCAAAAGGCATATCAGAGAGATCATATTTTGACTTTGGTAAAGACTATTATACCACTGTCTTTTATGACTCTCTTATACTGACTCTCGCTAAGAATTATATTTTAATGCTAGATATGAAATTGATATGATCGGTAATTCGAAGTGATAACTGACACTATTCTGTTAAACTATGGGTGACCTCTGACTTCAAACTACCGTCATCCCACTGTATGTCATATTCGACCACTTTCGCAGTATTCACCTTTTTCTCTTCCTTTGTGTCTGTCTATTTCTTTTGCATCTGCGAATCGCTCTTCTGTTCCCCACTCCTCGACTTTCTGCTACTTTGATGAACCTACCCTCTTTTAAGCTTGAAGTCAGTTAAATGGCTAATGATAGTTATCAAATAGCCTGCCATTTGAAGTGAATAAATAATTCTGTTAAACTAATTAGTGTTTGCTCGGAGATTGTATTTTTGATTTTCGTCATTTTAGATCGTGTCAAGGTTTTATTGGTCCATCATGGCAGATGTAAACCGACACCTTGTGATAAAAAAGATTAACTAGGGAAAGTTCTCATCAACAGAAGTCGAATGTGCTTCAGCAGTGCACATGTGTGTGGGAGCACAGATATATACTAAAACAGATGAATTAATCACACGAGTCATCTACAGAAGTAACTGCCTACTTACATAGAAATCCATTTTATAAAAGTATAACTTTATTAATAAATTGGAGTGGTTTCTCAACTGTCTACAAACTGTTCAAATAATTTTGTTCATACATTAAATGTGACCACATCCCTAGACATAAGTTTAAAATTCAAACATCTTTACAAAATATCCGTTCGAATACCAGACGAGAATAAATAAAACAAGCTTGATCTTATGAAATAAACCAATTTATATCGTTCAATCTCATGTTTGTGGTAGATTATTAAGACTTGTGCTGAAGGTTTTCCCAAGGCACATATGCTGTTTGATGGTATCTATAGCATATCAGCTTAATTTAATCTGAAAATAAGATGTTATCAATGCGGGAAATTTTAAGTACTTAGGTGATTAGATCGTATTTAATAGCAGAATACCATCAAGTTGATTTAATTTTATTGTCCATGGCCAAACTCAGACTTCAAAAAATTAGTTAACTGTTGGGTATTTTTAAGAGTTAATGAAATACCTGTTAAAGACAACCTTCATATTGCAGTGTATTTAGATTAAAAACATATATTTTTATTCTTCAGAACATTCTATGATTAAAGGATGGTAAAAACGAATATGGATGAAAACATTTATAGGTTCTTTTGTTTTAAACATTTCTGTAAAATCTGCCCTTGCTTGCGCCAATTCAGTTCAAAAGTTCGTAGCCCATAGGTGCATTCGTGGTTTAACTCCTCCGGGTGGTCATCTTTCGAGCCAGCTTTTATCTGACTGTTGAGAACCTCTCTGCGTTTCAAGTGGGCTATGAAATATGGGTAATATATATCACAGCCCTGCTTGAAAAATAAGGAGTTCTCGGACCATCATTTGCGTTTGTTATTTATTTGAAATAGATTTTTGTTTAATTATGGCTACTCTAACGGTTTGATTTTGGCGTTGTGGATTGTTTTGTGACTTATGCTATGGTATTCATAACAATATATAGCCATGTATTTTACCAATTTTCTTATACTTAGTTTATTTGCCAGTTCTACCATGGAAACGTGTGTTGATATGATATACAAGGTTCCACATTAACCTGGTTTCCTGACTCGCAGGTATTTTAATGCTACCGTCAGGTATTAGCGTATTGTTTGCAATGTCTGTCAGTGAGAAATTTGTCCGAATTACTTATTTGTTCATTGCTTGAAATTGTAAATCAGTTTCGGTGTACATCTACTTCTTTCAGCGCCACACTAATTTAAATCTACTCTCTACACAATTAGCTTTTCTGTTTCCTATTTAGAATATCCTGTCATTTTTACAAGAATTCAAAAGTAGGTGTCGTTTGTTTTCTAAGAAATTATAATTCCGATTACTGGTAGAAGGGTGTCATAATCGGTTCAGATAAAGGTAGTCATCACGGCTTTTGATCTATTTTATGCACTAATACTCCTAAAATCAAAATTGTCGCAACCTGCATGCCTCCATTTGACCTGAGTTGGACCAGGGAGTTGGATATTTAAAAATCTGAATCATCCAATCACATGACCTGGAAAATGTGCGCTCTACACAGCTAGAGGAGGCGAGATTAAATATTTCCTCTGCCCGGAACAATGCTCAAGAAATTGGCTTCTTCCATTATTGTGCCCATGTGTGAAAGCTTCGTCCGAAAACCGAGTATAGGACCAATTTCTTAGTCCAAAAACTGTATTAACAGTTACACCTTCAGTGAACTTCAGTTTTTCAAAATTCCTTTTGGAGCCGAGCAATTATAGAAGGTTATTGTAGCAGAAGGCATTATCTCGAGTTATACTAAAACCCATAATGCAAAAAATTGTACAACTTATCACTGTGGAATGTAATTGAAATCGGTCAACAGAAAGTTCTTTAATCGATAAAAGGGAGGAGACCATCAAATATTGAGAGCGAAATCTGGGTCTTATTGCATTTGAATTTTTTATTTGTGGTGCAGACTATTACGCCACCTGGATTATCGAACAAAATCCTATCCACAATATCTAGCGCTTGGTGGCAGGCTCTTTATGACGGTTGGCCTTATCGCTTTTTAGCTCAAAGTTGAGTAGAGATGAGATAGATAAGACTTCGAGTGTTCAGGTAGAAAACAGGTGATATTAGTAATAACAAAGCATATATGTATATAAAACGTGGTAATTCTTGTGGGATTATAAACATAATCTCAAAATTGAGGCAGAATGCATGATAGGCAATGATCACCTTTGATCTTCATCGCTGAAGTCCTCATCGATTTTCATCTCCAAATCAATATTTGCAGAAACTCCTTCGGTCTCGTCATTGTCGTAGAGGTAGTAACGCTGTGTTGACCGGGATGGTTCGTTTGCAAAATGATCGGCTCGTCTTTTACTAGGTCTTTCGTAACCATTTTCTCTGTTCCGGAAAAGACATATTGAGGAGACTAACTGCTTGTCACCTGTAATGGTAAACAGTGGCTTTAGTCTAAATTCTGATAAAGGAATTTAAAAAGAAGGTGCTCATATAGTTTTGGTTTAGATTGCTTATAGCCATTTTAAGAAAATGATCTGCCTATCACCTATAAACAATAGTAAACATCCTGATGAAGTTCGTAAGCTTAACCTGTTCGGAAACCTTAAATATGGGCATCTTGCTTTAACGAATGGAGTCATTAAAGAAACAAGGAAATCAATAAAACCAGATGAAGATAAAAATTTCGACGCCATGGTAGCAAGTGTTAGTAACACTTGCCTTGTAGTCAATCGTTTGAAAAACTTTCAATCTTTCCTCCTTACTTATCAACCAGAATTAACCAATTAAGTGTACACCGATGGATTGATCCCGTTACTCTTGACCTGGGTAGTATGCACATTAATTACCGATTTCTTTGCTTCTACAACCTTACTTCGGTCCATTTTGATCAATTTCTGAACCCACATAGAGGTTAGGAGACTGCCAACGATGAGAAGATTGTAAAATGTGACTTAAAGCTTTCAATGAGTAATAATGATCAATATGCAGAATAGAAAGGCACAGACAAATTTGTTAGCAAAACACCATTAGCCACTAAGGTTTGGAAAGCCTCCAGCGGTAGGAAACAGTCAAAGACAAATGCTTGAAGAAGTCAATATCCAGTGCAATAAAACATCAATTGGAAATGTGTTGCGTGGACTGTCTCGATATCGAATGCGAAATGAAATAGAACCGGCGAGGTGGTCATCACGAGATAGCAAAAACTCATAAATACAATAAAAGAGGCTGTTTAAAATGGCCTTGGAGATTTTGAATGCAAGCGGGGCTTGCTGCCCTGTGAGCTGAAGGAATATAAATTAGAAAACAGAAAATTGAGATAACAAAGACTAAAACTTATCTTTAGGCAATGCTTGCGCTTTATAAACTTTAGAAGATAGTGTTTATAGCGTAGTGGATCTTGGGAATGAGGTAGTCACCTTGTTGGCCCCAAGACTATGGAAAAAGGTCCAATTCTACGCAAAACGTGTAGTTGCAACGAACTGCAAAAAATTGCTTGATCTTACTTCTATTCAACCCTCCAAAATACAATCAAACTAGCGCGAATTATCAAGGGAACATCAATATGACCAGATTAGGCCAATGCCATTTTAACTATGAACATCAATACTAGAATTAAAATAAAATGTTAAGTGAATGATATTTATAAGATATGTTCGAAAGCTACATACACTAACGACGTGGTCGACAAAGTTCAAATTACCTTAAATCCTGTAATAGATAAGGCCCCTTAAAATGACGTGTCAGAATTTCATCAATAGCGTAAACATTAGACTTAATACAAATTTATTAAAAGGATCCTTTGGAAAACTAACAAGATACACTCTGCCGGTATTAACAGCGAAGGGGTGAAAATCGAGAATTTCATGGACCAAATCTCTTCACCCTCGTCTTAAACTCTGCTCTACAGTAATATGAGACAGAAAGCTATTAGCTTTATAAAAGAGCTGAAAGCTTCGTAAATGAAAATTTGAATTAACCAATACAATTTATGAATTCAGTTGACTGACATATCTTCTAAATGCCATGAAATAAAACTGACCGGGATATTTTGTACCTAGGATCTTCAATTCAAGAGGAAATCTATCAAGCAGGCTCGTTCTCAATCCAGCAACCAACACATCCTTAAATCGCGCTCCAGATGCGCCAGAGAGTGAGGTTCTAAGTGTTTCCCAAGAGTCCCTTCTGCCATTCTCAACTGATTTCGACTGGGGAGCTTTGAGAGGACGGAAGCGATTGCCAACAGCACCCGAAGCATTTCCAGGCGAATGAAAAGCGATGCATCGGGCGGTTGCCATAGCGGCATAATGGCTACCAGCCATACAGACTCCTGAGTTTCGGTCAGCAGCGGGAGTAAGCCCAAGACGCCAGTTCATACCCCCTGAAAGATAGGCATCTGACCAGGAGATTTGAGTGCTGATTAAGGCAAGGGAGTTGAAGGATTCAGTGTCTGAGTTGGTGTGAAAAAGTAGGTAGTTCTCGTGTAGCCAAGCGACTGCGTCGTCTCCGGATAAACCGCTCTGATCAAGAACCGACTAAAATCGGGACAAAAGCTACGCATAAAAATCTACGCCACAATCCGCAAAGCTGTCTACATTCCAATTCAGTTAGTCCGATTATTATATTATTTAATACGATTATTGTCAACTAGATGGACAATTATCGCCGATGCATTCAATCTACACAGGTAAATGATTTTTCTTAATGACGAGTCTATTATTCTGTGCTACAGGTCTTTGTTGTATCCTTCTGAGATCATATTTGGTACCACAGCCAACTAAACTGACATCAGCTCAACCAATGAGCAAAACATAACAAAGCGGTGAATTATAGTTAGATCACACTACAGGAGATAGCAGAAAATCTAATGATTGCACTCTAAATAAGAGCCGAGTTAAAGATAAAGATAACAATGATCTAATTTGGGGTGAGATCCTTAATATAATTCTGTATTATACTTAAAGTGTGGAAAGTATAAATAAGTAGCGCCTGATTGGCAATCAAAAATATTAATGTTAACCTAATGCCCTACTTAAATAAAAAGTTAGTAGCGTTTTGAAGGGATGAAGCTGATAGCGATATTTCCCCTTTTCAGTTGTTCCATATTAAGTAGCCATTTAAGTAACAATTACCTTCATTTTAAAATCCGCAGATAACGTCGAAAAAAATCAATCCACCCCAATTATAGTAACTTAAATGATGCAATGATGAGTTAAATTGACCAATAATAGATAAAAGTAATTGAATTAAAAATTAGACGATGAAATTGATTAGAATTACTTCGATTTACCTCAGGAGTGAAAGACAGAGGTGACCGTTTATAAGCCTGCAGATGGGAAGGAAGAGACCGACATTTGTTATCTGACTCACTTAGACCTTGGAAAGTAGGAATTATAAGGTTGGAAATAAACAATAAAAGGGTCACCACAAGGCTGGTAGTACTCACGTTTGGAGTAAAGAATCTTGCCCAATGCATGAAATAGAGCCAGTCCAGCATCTCTTTCATAAACACAGTATTCCATCGGACTACTTTTGCCTGTTTGTTTTGCTGAAAGTAGACATAAAAGAAAATTAATCTCAAGCTCAAAAAGGAGTTAATGAAGAACATAAGGAGCGAAACGTAACCAGATATTAAGGCGAATTGAAGATTGTTAATCGCCAGTCGAATATCACCAGAACTAGTAGCAGCCAACGATTGAATAAACCCTTTAGAAGGAAGGGGAATCTTTGACTAAAAGTATAAAAAGGTAAAAGTTGGCTGGAAATTTGCAGCTCATTGACAAATATGGTAATTCATAGGTGATGAAAATACAATACATGAAATCATCCACATTAATAAGCTTCGAAAACATGACTTAGCTCAACCAACAGAGGCCACTAACACTTAGACGTTGGAGTAGTTTGAATGAAGACGCAGCAGCACAAAGCCTACAACTTAAATTCAAGACCCAGTGTATGCGGAATTTTTAACGCTGGCACGAATTACTAATTAGAATCGAGTCCTTTCAGTGAAAGCTCTTCCATACACATCGTTCATACTAAAATAAAAACACGTCTCTGCTGTCTCTTTGTTACAGAAACCTGGGGATCAACTTATAAAAGCCGGCCTTTAGAATGCTAGGGCATTACGAAGCGAACTAAGTCTCTAATAATTTTTGGCATCAGTAAAAAAGTCCACTTGTACCAATTCCATTTAAATAATAGGAAAAAATTATCGTCCAGGCAGAGAGAGAGAGAGAGAGAGAGAAAGAAAACCAGAAAAAGTGTTGGCTCCCGATGTTGGAAGACGCAGGGATGAAATGAAGGTAGCACCGCCATTCAACCATTTTAAATTTCACCAATTTCGAAGCATGTTTCCTTCCCTGGCCTGAAGAACTTGAACAGAATTAGGTAATGCCATGCCAATGCACCTGAAGACTAACAGCTATAACAATTTTCGAGTGTGGCTTTTTGAAGAAACTCAAAGAATTAAAATTTAAGAACAAGGGACCATAACTTCAAATATAGATATTTCACTTTCTTTTCTCCTGCCTCTGTAAATATTATTCCGACAGGTCAAAACGATTGTATAAACGGTAACATTCATTAGAACCCTAGTTCAAATGGACTAAATATGTCGATAACATAAATAGACACAGGGAACCAATGCCAAAAACAAAGTTTAACGCATCAGCAATAATTATACTACTACGAATAAAATTTAAAAAAAGAACCCACAAAGACACTTCATCAGTTTAAAATTAATGAAAGCCAAATGTCAATGGAAATAGAAAACAAAAATGAAAACAATGGCAAAAAAGGACGTGCCTTTTTACAAACGATATTTACAATACGATTGATAGCTCTTGTCATGATTGTAGAAGCAATTGGGTTGAATTCAATTCGATAAATTCCAAGCTCTTGCACGATGTGGGGAGGGAAAAGCCTACTCAAACTGCCATTATCGAAACTGGAAACATTTGACACACTGAAACCGCCATTTGAAGAGGACTTCGTAAGAACAAATGCTAAGAGAGTAGGAATAAGAACATGAGATAGGGCGGCTCTAAGGATACTGTGAAAGCGAGCTGGCTTTTCGGTTAATCCAACCGGTAGGTTCTAGAAAAATTAAACGTGAAAAATTCAACTTTACTTCGACAAGAACTAGTTGGGGTGGTCTTGTGTTGGCAGTGTTTGCTGACTGCCGAAAATCTAACTTTGAAGAGTCATTAGTACTTGAATAGCGGGTGGATTTCAAAAGAAACTCCTCAAATTTATCATATTCAGTAGACCCTGTTTCATTGTAATCATTCTCTGTTTCCTCCCAGATAATGGGGGACGAAAAACCGAGCGATTGACAAACTGTCTGAAGGCAGGTGGATTTTGAGGAACCGGGAGGACCAGTAATAACTACAATACAACTTTTACGTATTTTCAAACTTCTGCACGCTTCCTTTACTTCTTTCAGTTTTTCATGATGAACAGCGACATCTTTCTATTAAAATGAATTATAAATAGCATTTCCGTCTTACTATGTCTCCAGGAGCATATACGTTTGTCCAGGGTTCATTTGGGGGAGCAGAATCAGTCGTTTTTGGAGATGCAAATGAATTGTACCATATTTCCGCAGCACTGCTTTGCTTTTTTAATGGCATCATTGTAATGGATTGGAGGATGCCATTTAAAAATATCGAGGTAGAGGATAAACGCGATATATGATGGGCAGCAAGAAAAGTGGTCGAAACAGACGACCTTGTGAAACACTGATAATATTTGTGAGGTCCTTATAACTAAAACTGAATCCAAAATTCTAAATTTTAGCAAAATCAAAGTAAGTTATCTTTATTTGAAAAATACTAAAACTATATTAAATTTTAATTTTTAGCTCAAATTCCTAACAAAGACCTTGAATCGCTCCCCGCGCTTTCTTCGAGCTCTGCCTGCTATCGTTCGAATAGGTCGGTGTTCTATTTCGACCATTTCAATCGAGTCGGTTTTTTATTCTGAAATTTAAAACCATATTTCTTCATCTATTTAAGTGTTTATTGTTTAAGTTCTTATGATTTTATGAATTTTGCATTATAACCTATCATAACTTTTTTGGGTCATTTATGATTAAGTAACTCTTGACCCCAGAATTCCACTTTAGTACATTAAAATTGACTTAATAATAGGCATCTCCATTTGTAATTATTGTTTTTATCTTTTTATAATTTTCACAGTTTTCTATCGAAACGGAAATTTATGGATTTTCATTTGGTAAAGCGTCCTTACGCTTGTTCCTTTCCAGGATGTTCTTATCGAGGCAAAACTAAATCCCAGATAACCCAGCACAAAGCCACCCATGGATTAGGTTATCTTATTTTGCTGTTATAATTGACTTACGTAGGTTATGTTTACGCATGTGATTTCTGTGATTATCGAGCTACTACCTCGACTAATTTACGTCGTCATTCACGACTTCATTTTGATACGAGGCCATATCGTTGTCCACACTGTTCACATACTTTCGTAGAGCTCTCTGCACTACGTCGCCATGTGCTCGATTCCGCTTACCACCCTGGTCTCCCTCTTTATGTATGCCCTTGGTGCACTAACTCTTCGTCAAATTCCAATAAGGTTGTCACCAATGCTAATCCATCATCCTCCCTAATTATCGATTCTCCAATCTCAAAAAAGATCTCTTCTAAAAAGCAGACAGTTCAAGATATTTGCGGATTTAACTCATCAAGTCTTGCCTGGAAACATGTCGTTCAAGCACACGCGGCTGAGTTGTCAGATCCGGAAACACTTCGACGAATGGGGAGAAAATCTGGTGAAACCCTGATTGAGGTATGTTGTTATTATGCTGATATATTAGAGGTTTTTGTCCACAGTTAGTAAGTCGCTTCATTCCTTTTTTGCTTCTTTCTCCTCCTCCTTCCTCCTATTAGCTTTACAGTCGAGGAATCGAGATATGCTTTATATAATGAGGATTTATTTTTCAGACTATGTGGATATTAACTTTCATTACTTAGCTTTATGTTACTATGCCAATTATTAAATGGAGAGAAGAGTGTAACTAGAAAATTTTAAAATGTTCTCGTTTAGGCAAGGATTTTCTTTTTCATTTGTAAGATTTTGACTCAGTATATTTAAGATTAACTTTTATCAAATTTCTAAAGACATATTTAAGTTAAGATCATCTAATTTGTGGAAGTCCAATCCCGTCAGTCTAAGATATTCTCCCTACGAATGAAGATGCCTTTTCTAAGTCAGAAAGCCAGGATTCGAGTTTTGGCCAATGGCAAGGGAAATGGAGGAAAGGGGGTGAGGGAAAACCGGAGTAAACTGCTTAGTCGCTACAAGTTGGATGCTGCTGGAATTCGATTATAGTTGTAACTGTGCGTCTTAGGTAGAGAGATTGCAGGTCTTTATATCATTAAAAACTGTGTACTTAACGCTTCCGAAATTATTTTTGAACAATATGTTGAAAGTAAATCTGTATATGAATTTAAAATATGTGTTTTCTTAATTGGTTATTCGCATTAACATATATGATGCCTGGAGAAGGTGTTGACCCATTGCTATTCTCTTATGAAAAGTTATTGTCCAACTGTTTAAGATAATTGCTTATGTTTCGATCCTCTTCCAGCATGATGTATCACTCATATTCGGTCTATACTATCCCAACGAGGACGGCAAATTTCGACCCTCCTCTGCTGTACGGATGTTGAATGGCCCAGCGCCGCCCTATCAGCGAATCAATGCCTCCCATCGAAAGCGTTCAGAAAATAACTCAACACATTCGACCCTCACTATCAGCAATAACTTCCTTACGGAGGATGGAAGTGGCGAGGATGGTGGTGGTGGTGGGGAGACGCTTAAATTCGCTGAAGTTCAGGATCTGGTGACTCTTGCTGGGGGGTTTGTGTGGTCGTCAGCTGCTTTCCAGTCTGGTTTGGTTAGAGCCACAAGTCAACAATCGTCGCGAAATCCTCAACATTAATTCTTAAGCGAGTCGGGATTTGTGTATATAGTGGTGTATTTTTAATAATATTATCTGATACTTTCAATAGGTATTTTGTATTCGAAATCATTATTAACTCCATTTTTAAATGATTTGCTTGGGATCATAACATCAATATATGGCTTAGCGGGTTAAGATTATATTGCAACGCTATGAATAGCGCTATGCAATTTTTTCCAACACATAAGTTGTAATTGAGCGTTCTACGATTTTCTGCTCCTAAATGTTTTCTTTTTCGTTTGGAATCCGCAAAGGTAAACAACAAATAAGTAAAAAAGGTTTCATGGTGCTATGAGGCGGTTTATAACACTTACTATTACGATTTAGATGGTAATATTTTGGCAACTCTTAATGTCTTACCTTCCAGTGAGTGATCATGAGCGAAAAACTCCTATTTTCTACTGAGAAGTTATCGACGGACATAAATTTAGATTAGGCAGAGTCCACCATGGATTCCCTACTAGTGTACGTGAATGGGTATGGTGTAGATAGAAAGTAGTGAAGCGTGCCTGTTTCAATACGCTAAAGAAATAAGCGAGATATATTGTGGTTTTCAAGTTTGATTAGAGCTGCGAGTATGGGTAAGAGTAAAGGATGCGAGCTTACGTCCGTGTAAATTCTATTTGCTTTATCACCAAACGGTTTAGTTATTTTGTATTTAAAGTGAGTGACCAAGAAGGGGATTATTTAAATTTCTCCAGTTACAGAATTGTCGATGCTACTGTTGGCCTGTTCGTACCCATAGCCATAGGTTAGTATATCACACACACGGTCCAATGGATAAGAGGGCAGTATAAAAAACAATTTTCAGACTTTCTAGAGGGTGGAAATAATAACATTAAAACAAATTAGTGGCTTAAAATCGAGCTTGATAAAGGAGGGTGTTTTATGCTTAAGTGATTTATATCTCGCTTTATAATCTAATTCTTGAAATTTGTTTGCTGGGATTTTAAAACTATGCTAAAAATAAAAGTACAAAGCATGATGAACGACACCGAAATACTAATATATTTCAGAATTATTTTCTATTAAAGTGAAGCGCCATCAGTAAAGAGATCTTTGTCTCCAGGTCTTGCAAAATTCTTGAAAAAAAGTGCTTGAGTCTGTGAAATACATTACTAAATATTTTAAAGCTCCAGTACCCAATACCGTTTTTGACATAATTCAATGAATCGAACTTTTCAATCAAAGATATTCATTTAAGTCTTTTTAACCAGTTAAATGCATTTAATCCTGATCAAATGAGGCAATTCGTTGATTATATTGGTTCGTTATTTCCTTTGTTATTTAAAATAATAATGATCAGCTACTTTATTATTATTTAATCTTTCGGACCCATTTTCTACGACTTCTCTAACAACCCGACATCGATAAATTTGTAGTAAAAGGAAATATTTTTTAGATCATCTGCATTGATCGATGCAGGGATACAAGTTGACTGTACTAATAAGTGTTAGGAAGGTTTCATGCACTACCATACGTGCCAGCAAGATGACGAGAAAAAAGTTATACTTGGAAAGGCAATTAGTAAAAGGTGATCATTTAATTAAGTGAAACAAATGAGAGCTAATACGAAATGAAAAATATTGAATGCAATATCTGTGTGCAAAATAAGGTCCAGTAAATGAAGTCCATTATAGAAAGTAGTGTTAAAAATATTTATGTTCTGAAATTGCTATCATCATTACGAAATACATATTTTACTAGTACTTGAGGAAATATTATATTCATGTATACTTTTTAGATATAAACGCAAAGTATTTTGATATTAATATATATGTATATTAGATAAAAATATAATCTCAGATAAATCTGCACGGAATCAGCTTTTAAGACAATGACATGCTATTCCAATTAAGTAAGGTCGTTCATGATCAGCTGTCACATCAGCCCTTTCATGTCGACTCATGAGATGCATTCTCCGGAATGCGTCACGAAGGCGTCCGTCTTGGTTGAGAGTGCTATTCATGTATGAATGTTAAATTTGATGCCAATTTTTAGTATCGGTCTATTCAACATCGTTTGGACAAAAATCGCATTAAAATCTATCGTATTTACTACTCCAAGCCAGTTATCATTTCCTCATATATATGTAAAGCAATATTCTTCTTATTGCCATTATTTGAATCTCCCTCATCCTTGACAAAGTCATCCGATGTAAGACTTAATTTACAAAGACCTGTTGTCCCATGCGGAATTTTGGAAAGCATAGATTTCTTGTGCTTGTGCTTCTTCCTTGTCCGCTCATTAATGCTTGTAAGTCACTTGTATTATCGAATTTTAAATTCGATCTAAATCAATGAAAATTTATAAATCTTTATCTACAAGGCTTACTTATTTTGGAAAGAGGAATTCCGTCGAAATTACTGGCTCATTGGTCAATTTGTCGTAATATTTATATCAATTAACGACGTGTTGGTTTCAATGGCTTTAGGTTGTTCCGAGGTATTTTACTGTAATTATTCTAATATCGATATTTAGTTTATTCGAATTCGAAGATTCTTTCGTCCTTATTTTCTTATCGCTGATAGCCAAATGCTCAAAAAGACAATCAAGTGTTTGCTCATCACTATACCAGAACTATTTACGTAATTATTTGTTCTGTAAAACTTTCCGTTAAGTATATATGCATTCATTCTACTTGATTTCGTCTTAATTTCAGCTATTTATTGCTTCTATTGTTGTGGATACTTTTCTCCACTTTGATCGCCATTTGTATGTTCTCTGGACGCAAGCAAACGTTTTCCTCGGTAAGTTATCATTTATTTATCATCCTAATTAGTTTATCTATACTTTTACTTAAACAGGGTTTTTGAATACCTTTTATCGTTTATTATTGAGTTCTTTCAAGCACAGGGAGTGGTAGGGTTTGGAGTGTGAAGGTAAATAGGTGTTTCTAGGCTTATTCCATCAGATTTTAATAAAAAGAAATTTGTAGTGCTCGGTTCTTTCACCTACATCAAATAATATGCTTGAAGATATTCGACGTAGTCGTATTTTTTATAAGATCTTCGCCATTCGGAAGTAAGCGGAGTTTACGGCGGTGATCTACAGATTAAAATATAATTTGTATTATAGTCCTCGTGAAGACAAATCCTAGTCTTTTTTATCTCAAAAGCGTTTGAGATTGAAAAAAGGCAGTAAATTCCTATTAGAGATGAGGAGATGAGATCTAAAAAAGTCTTATATCTTTTATTTTTTGCATTTCACAAAATTGAAAGATACTAGCTTGGATGGCTTTGACTTAGCAACGCAATCCTTTTTTCTATAATTCACATGCAATTTAAAAATTCTCACATTCCAAGTTGAATGAACTTGACGAGACCCTTCAGTCATGGTAAATTAAGGTCATGACCAGTTATGTGACGTCACTGTTTATTTTTTGGACAGTATTTTATGGTATCTCTTCCTTGACTTATTGTAGGTTATTTGTACATTAAACCGATCTGTTGTAAATGGTGTGTTGATGACATCTTAATAGATCATCTGCAGTGACCTTTTGTGTTTTTTTATGTGTGGGGGGGGGGGTATAAACGGGAATGCACTTCGTTGCTTAAAATCATTTTCAGATAAAACTGCTCAAATATACGTTATAGGGAAGGAGAATCCACCCTAGAGTCCCTTTAATTGATGAATTTTTTGTTTCATTTATAAGTCTATTAAGTAGATCAAACGGCTATTAAGTTGACCAATGATAATTTATTCCTTTCATGTTAAATAGTAGTACTTATTCTGACTTCTTTTTCGTGCTGATGTCTCGATTCATGTATGGTTTAAAATTATGGCAATATATTCTTTCTCTTTTTCCTCTCTGTTATATACGATGGAAAATTTAAATAATTTCTTGTGATTCTAAACCCTTACAAACAATTGCAATACATTTTTCAACTAACGTTAACACATTTGATGCCATTTGATGTCATGTTTTCACTTTTCTTCTCTTAATTTTGCGTTTTCTTACTTTTAGCCCCACAATCTATTTGCCAAGTCAGAAGGCGTTGGAATTAAGTGGTTTTATGAAACATTTTTCAACATCATTGTCCTTCTCACCACGGCCAATCATCCTGACCGTAAGTTTGCATTTCTCCTCTTTGTTTTCCTCGTGTTATTGTTAAGTGCTTAGTTTATGCAACAAGTGAATTTTGCTGTGATATAAACACTTCATTATGTCCATTTTAACGGAACGGAATACGGCGAGTTTTCTTCTTGCAAAATTGCTGGTGCATCTTTGAGGCCTTTACTTATTATCTGTTGGAGTAAGTGACTAGAAAATTTAGTTTGTGATGGGATTATCTCCTTACTCTCAAATTTACAGTTCGTCAACATTTTCAGTTGGAACACTGTGGTGGATATGCCGTTTCAGGTATTACATCCCCATACCCATGCAACCATATCTGAGATATGGCATTATTTTACTTTCGAAGTTACTAAGTTGATTCTAATCTTTTACTTTTTACTCCGGGCTTACTGTTTGTTGTTGACTATATAGTCACTGCGATTCGGGAATATGTATAAGGAAGGTATTTTCTTGTTTAATATTTAAAATTAATAAATCCGAACTCCTGATCCTCATTTTTTCGAACCCTTTGCGGTGTAGTCATATGTAACATTTAGTGTTAATCAAATAACTAGCGGGTTTTGCTACACCGATCATTCCTTTTATCTCCCCTCCTTGCTTTAGTTTTGCTGCCGAATTACAATGAGAATCGAGGCGCTGCTTTATTTGATGTGGTTTTCATAGCCGTTGGCACCTACTTCTTCATGTACATATTTACGGCCATCATGTTCAACCAATTTCGTGGCTATCTCTCCGTAGGCTCACCACTACTGTCTTTTATTAATCAATATTTCATAATCTCCATGATTGCACTTCCTCCTCTTTAGTCGTCCATCCAAAAGCGCATGTTCAGACGTCGTCTTGCGGTTTTTGCTGCCTTCCAGCTTCTCAAATCTCAGGACCCGTAAGTCTACCCATGCATAATCTCCAGTCTGCGTTATTTCCTTATGACAATGCTATTAACTCGTGTTTTTTTGTCTCCCGCATCTCGGTTTCTCTAAGATTTCGAAATTACTTCATTGCATTATAATTTTTGTATTTCATTATATTTGGTTAATTCCTTTCTTTTAAACTTCCTATTTTTACAACGGTTTTGCCCAGAGTTTATTAATTGGCTTTGATTAGATTCTTTCTCTTGATTTTGGACTTGACCACGCCTTCCCTATTTATTTGTACCACCCTTCGTAGAGAACCAGTTGTGGAGTCTGACAAAATACGACAAGTCTTGGAGGAAACATCCTTGTCTGGCTGGAAGAAAGAGATCTTTTTATTGGTAAGTTGTGCTTGTATGACCGTTTTTATAATGTAATTTAAAGCATTTATTTTGTCTTCCCTCATTTCTACACTCCATTATTGAGTAATTTTAAGTACTACAAGTTCCACTCATTCACTTTCTTCGAATTGTCTATTTTCATTCCTGAATTCTCAGAATCAGGAGCTTGTGCGAGATAAATCTAGCGAAATCACACACACGTTTTTCTCGCACTTGCAAATAGTCGGCCAATGAATTTCGCTGTTCGCATTTGTGAGAGCTGTTGTGTTTCATTGACTTGTACCATATCCTAAAGTATGGAAGCTCGATCATCATATTATATATATATATATATATATATATATATATATATAAATATTCCGTTATATATATATATATATATATATATATATATATATATATAACGGAATAAAGAGTTTACTAAGAAATATAGATTCAGGTAGTCGGAGAAAATAGAAGTAGCAATTAAGTTGCTAAGTTAACTATGGAGCATGGTAGGAGTGTAGCTTTCCCTTTTCCTTTCATTAATTTAGTTAAATTGAGGTTTCCTGTCCATTCAGGCGCACAACTTGCTCTTTATTTAAATGGTAAGGTATTTGTGATTTATTGTGTTATCTGCCTATGGAACTCATACGTTCTTTCGAAGCCTATCGATGAAATCGTACTTCAATACCCAATCATGGGGAAGTGAGTAGCCTCCACGAGTCACTCGGAAGTGAGGAATTCACATTTCAATTGTGCCCTTGGTTTTAACAGATTTATACGTTAACGTTAAGCAAACGGTACACACTGCTGGTTTTATAGGGATGGTAAGCAAGAATTTAACAAGAGCTCTCTGTTAGTATATCCACTTTAATTTTATTTGGGCAGGGAATTAAGGCGATGTCCAAGTATATTCGGTTTTGCACATGTGTCTTGGTATGAGTCTTGCCGAAATCTTGCATAGTGACCAACCCCACTGTTTACTCCCTATTCCATCGTGCCTTTTTCTTCCTTATGATATTGAGTATGAGACGGTTTTAAGTTTTTATAAGCATATGTCCTTACCTGCCAGTCCCTTCGAAATCATGAATTCGTTTTTTGAGGTAATATTCTTGCAATGAATTTCATCCTAGAGGACGTTTTGACAATCGAAGGGTTTGTGTACCAAGATAGTAGGTTCATTCTTCCAATTTAATCCCCTGACCAATTGTCTGTGTAAGTCTTATTTGCAACAGATTAACACAGAAAGAAGAATCATATTTGTGAACTATTATAAACGTTAAATGGAGCAGTTATTGGTGGGAAATCTGATGAATCTGGGGGATTCGTTTGAAGTAATTCCCCTAGTGCTCTAATTTTTCCATGCTTTTACTCCACCCCTCCTCGTTAAGCTTAGTCTTACTTGTTCTACTGTCTTTTATAGAAATTGGAAAAGGAATTTTCAAACATATCTCTGAAATTGGGAGAATTTATGGACCTATTCCGCCTTCTCGAGCTTTCCTCTCAACCAAAAGCTGTTAGTAGTTTTTTTTAAAAATTTGACATGAATGCAGGGCTTGTTTATTTATATCCATGATTTTGTTTCTCCTTGCAGCTTCGGCACACTCGACAGTTCTATAATCCCGTGGCTTCTCGAATTCAGACCTTCTTCTTGTCTGACGAGTTTAGATGGATTGAACTTAGTATCTCTCTTGCTAATGTCACCTGTATCATTGTAAGTGATTTATCTACTACAATTAATGGCGATGCATTGAAAATAGGTAACAAGTTAATACGTATTCATGTAACCCATTGCAGTTGAAATTGGAACCAAATATTCACCCCCTATCTCGATGTCATGACACTAAGGTAGTTTGTTGTGGCGCCTTCAATGTTCTAGAGTGCTTGAATTCAGATGGAAATTAGATGCAATCTTATTGAACAAGATGAAAACGTTTTTTGTTACAAAATATGTTTGGTTGGGGAGGGGGCTTTTCCAATTATAAACATGCTTTAATATTGTACGCTGAGTCATATTTCTTCATTTTCTCAGGTTCAACTTGTTGCATTTGAGGAGGAAGATAAACCCAGCTTCAGATTTTTGGTAATTTCTCTACATATTTTCCTGTCCTTTTTTGCGTAAAACCAATCATTTTTGCCTACTATTCTGTATTAGATTATCAATACAGTCTTTGCATTGATCTACATGGCTGAAATCGTACTTCGAATATGGTTCTATGGATGTCGAGACGCCTTGAAACGTCTCTCGCTCTTTGACACCGTTCTCTCCTCTTTAAATTTAGTAAGCACATCTCTTTAATGTGTCCTTATTATAATCACTTTTTCAAAGTCAGTTTGCTCATTTATTGCCTACTTTTCCTTTTGCTAAAAAACACAATATATTCACCCTTCTGTGTCATGCAACTTTGTCGTCGCAGCTTTTCCTTTATCTTAGATAAAGTGGATTGAGCTCAATTAACGTAGAACCCTACCTTCATCACCTCCTAAAGTGGCAGAGAAAATGTGCCTTCTTTTCACTTATTCCACTTCATTATTAACTAGTGACCGCATCAAAGATGCTTGGAAAGGCACAGCTATCAAGATTACATTTTTTAACCGAAAATGGAATGGGACAATAGGAAGAACTTGTCTCAGAAATTGTGAAAATTTATATCATAGCGAGTTATTTTTGTATTTTGAGGCTGATACACTTATCCAGAGGCTATTTTTCAATGCTACGTGCTATTTACCATTAGAAGGAGACATAATTATCGAATTGGGCATGCTTGATGAAGGTTTCTACCCCCCGCCCTTGTTTTACCTACCAAGCGGTCAGCTGATATAGGTTGAGATTTATGGTTAATGCAAATCAAACCACATTAAATCAACTACTTCTCACCACTTTCCCCTTTTAGACTCTTCGATTGGTTGAATTGGCTCTCATCTTATGTGGACTGAAGTGTGTTTTGCTAATTTTTTGTTTCCTGTATGTGCCTATCCAACGCATGTTTCATCAACTCCCCTCTTTACAGATCCATACCTTACCTGCAATGGTCTCCATACAACATTGGCCAAGTGGCAAATGTGTGCGTAATTCTGCGCACTGTGCGTTTTTTACAGAATTCTAAACTAATGAAAGCGATTCTGCTGAAAATGCCACAGCACTTGGCTCCTGTGCTGGGGATTCTTGCCTGCCTCTACTACGTCTATGCTCTTATTGGACTCACTGTGTTCCATGGAGCTATTGAACCACCAAGCGACAAGTAAATTTCCCACACAATGTCGCATTTGTTTCAATTTTGTTTGAATAAGTAACTCAAAGACAGGAATGTTTTAATTCTAAGATGGCATTTTCGTTAAGAAAATATTTATTTATTTATTTAAAATGGCAGGCGTTTTGATAGTTATCATTAGCCCCTTAGCTGACTTCGGGCTTCACAGAGGGAAGGAACGTCAAAGTAACAGAAAGTCGATGGGTGGGGAACAGAAGAGTGGTTTACAGTTGTAAAAGAGACAGACACAGAGGCAGAGAAAAGGTAAAATGATTACTGTGGAAGTGTTAGAATATGGCATACAGTGGGGTGATAGTAGTTTGAAGTCAGAAGTCAACTGCCGGTTTATAGATCTATTTGCCGTATGAGTATACGTTGCCCAGAGTGCACCACGTGGAGGTAAGTCTATCGCACACCCCATGTTAAGAAAATATGGAATTCTATAAAACAAATTGTGCTTAGAGGATGTGATTAGCTAAATAGTTTACTTTCCCATTAGAATATTCTCAACTTAGATGGAAATGGAAGGAGGCTGATTAGGTGGTGACCATAATTTATGTAAAATAAGTTGTGCGTTTGGTGGAAATCATGCCATGAAGTTATTGAACCACTTCATTTTACTCAAGCGCCAATGCCACCTATCTCTGTGGAAGCTACCAAGAACTGAGCTATTGGTCTATCAACTTCGACGATTTCGCTGTGAGTTATTCTTTCTTGTGTTTGTTTGTTTTTTTAACTCTAGCTGGCTTTTAAGAAATTGGAATGCTTGCTGCGTTGATTTTAGGCAAGCCTCTTCACTCTGTGGAGCTTGATGGTTATCAACAATTGGCATGTCATTGTGCGCGCTTTCACGGAAAAAAGGGGCAGGTATGTACACCTACTTCATTTCCAAGTGTTTTACAAGCCGTTTTTGAAAATTGTTTAGCCCCTGAATTGTTGTATGCTAATTAATAGCGCTATGGCTGGTTTTGACAGATCGCTGATAAAGTTACCTGTGTCTAATCGTATTTATAACCAATCTTTATTTATCTATGTGCGTCGTTTGACGGGCCACCTCTGGTTCTCTACTAACCTCCTAGGCAGAGAACAGGCCTTTTCTTTTATGTGTGAACTTAAATGTCTCCTTTGATAACGAAATTCCAGATATATTTTTAAGTTTGTGAAGGTAGGGGTAATATATTTAACCTTATTTAAAATAGGTGTCAGTTTGGATATATTCAGGCTTCAGATGTCACTTTGGTCCCATTACATCATTGGAGTTGAATATTTATATCAAATGGTAGGCTTTATGATAGTTGTCATTACCCTTTAGCTGACTTCTAGCTTTACGGAGGGGGGTCGGGGTACATCTAAGTCACAATAAGTCGAGAGTGAGGGGGTACGGATGAGTGATTCACAGATGTAAAAGAGACAGACACAAAGGTGGAAAAAAGGTGAGGTGGATACTGTGGAAACGGTCGAATATGACATACAGTGGGGTGATGGTACTTTGAAGTCAGAAGTCAACTGACGGTACATAAACTTTTTGCCGTATGAGCAAGCGTTGCCCAGGGTGTACCACGTGGACGTAAAGTCTATCGCGCATCAACTTTTAATATCGGTCGCTGCATTCGGCGAATTGCTTATTCATAATTTTCCTGTTTGTAGTAGTTATACACAACGAGGTGTTTTTTTTATTACATTTCTAGAGCGGTGCACTTCTATATGCTCAGTTGGTGGCTCATTGCTGTCGTGATTATGGCCACACTTATTACAGCTATGATTATTGAGGTGGGTTTTGCATTTACTTTTGATCTTTATTACCCTTCTCTTTTAATTTTGAGATATTCCCCCAAAGTGTTAGTGTTTGTATATGAAATTCATTTTTCTTTAAGATCTGCTTTGATGACTTACTTCAAATTGAATTTGAATTACTACTTTTGACCCGTTTGACACTATAGTCATTGTAGTTTTAACGGACTAAATTTGTCGCATTCAATATAGAAGATTGGCGAGTTTTTGGTTCGGCTATAAATATGGTCTTGGAAAATGAGTAGTTTGAGCAAGAAGACCTACTCAAAGGTCTGTCGGCTGTGATTTGACGCTTACTTAATAGGCGAATTACTCCCAAAGTCATGCTTTCCATTCTATTAGATGAAATGGGCTATTTTATGCATCTTATTGTAGCCTGGGAAAGGCATTCTTTCCCCAACGTTTTCTTTATCTAGAATATGTGATCCACTTTTAATGAAGTAAATTTATCTTAGCGAGAAATTCACAAGGTGTTGGTCGAATCTTGTGAATCAGTGAGCTCTGCTATGCTAAAAGCATATTAACCCTCTTCGGAAGGGACCGTTTCACCCGTACATATTTTTTCTTTGTTGTAGGTAGTTAAAACTGGAACTTACCACATCCTTTTAAACGTCCCTCCTATTTTAGAGCTTCCTCTTTGCACGCCAACAGTGCCTTGACGAATCGGGTAATAAAAATTACCGCCCGAATTCTTGTGGTCTCATTTCAGCGTGTCGACTACGTCGCCGAGATAACAATGACAATCACGACACAGAGCCATTAGTTGACAATGATATTGGAGAAGAGCTTAATCAAGTTAATCAATCGAATATACATCAGGAATCCGAAACAGGTGTTCAAATAATCACAGGTGATCAGAATCAGAACCTCTCATCACTCTCACCATCTTCTCACCACTCATCTGTGACCTTCAGTTTGGCGCAGATTCTGGGTGGAAGTTTTACTGAACCCACCAACGAGGACCTTGAACGTCATCTTTCACGTCATTGCGAGATAGGTCCTTTGATCAACTCTCATTGAACTCTACTCCATTTCAAATGGATTCTCTTTCGTTTTAATTTCTCCTTTTGTCCTTGATTCACTCATTTACAAGTATGTATTTTTTGTTATAATGAATAAAGCACATATTGAGTCAAACGACTTCATTTTGAGCGAGTTGGAACATGCGACAGCGATTTCACAGTTAAATCTCCTGTAGATGAAACTTAGGAGTGCTTGGAGCTTAACGGCCCTCTATGTAAGATTGTTGTCGACGCTGCCACCACGGTTTTCATCTTTGAGAGTGACTCGTAGAGGATCGGAATCTCAAGTACTATTGGTGGAAATGAATCGACCAGATGCATTCAATGCTCTGTCTCCTAATATGGTGAAAGAATTGGCAGAAGCGGTGGAATACTTTGAGGAGGATTCATCTATTCGATGTCTCGTTCTTACTGGTAGTACTAAATCCTTCTCGGGTAAGAGGTGAAGTACAGTCAAATTATTTAAAATTATGTCATTAGTTAAAATGAGTTCGTTATGTAACGCTTAAAATGCGAGAGGCAGCTGTAAAATTAATCAAATTCATTTGGCAATGTGCTCAATGCGTTCATTGATTACGTATGCCTTATCCTCTTTCTATGCCTACGTGACTATATTAATGCTTGTAAGCCAGTAGTGAGTTGAGAATCTGAAGTTAATGAGCCAATATCAGAAGTATACTTTGTAGGGTTAATGAGGTCTGTACATCGAAACCATTGGAGGTAAGGAAGTTATAGAAGGGAGACTGACTAGCTGGGTTAGTCTGACTCCGCAATTGGCAACGTAAGGTCAAGCTAATTAAGTATCTGCTACTTTCCGTTATCCAGTTTTGTTCAACCTGACTTTACCAAAGGAAAATAACAATGTCGAGCTAACTTTGAGCCAGGATCATAGAAAAGTTAGACTAGTTGAACAAACACTTTGTTAAATATCTCATTGATTAAAATTAGCATAAAATGTTATATATTTGCTCTTTAGGTACTATTAAAGCTCGAGATTCATTAATACCAAATACTGGTTGAAGCTACTGCTCCCAATTATCATAAATTGGCGAAGTGTCTTTTTTGTTTACCTCACCTTGATTGAAATTTCTAATTGGTGGAAATTACAAATAGGAATTATCTAGGATATTTGTGTTCTACTTAATGGTTGATCTCTATTACTAGAAGTTTTTGTACATTTTGTCGTGTTTTATCAAAGAAACAGGCATGCGATTAGCACTAGATATGTAAAACGACCTGAGTGATGAAGCTCTAGCTAAAGGCAAGCCAATATGAAAAGAGAGTACTTAAAATTTTATTATTAGCTTCATGAATTCAACTACCACAAGGGGTAGCTGGGACATACGGTGGGAGAACATTATATTTACACAAATTGTATACTAAGTATAAATCATTTACTGCTGTTGTCTAACTGCTAAATCCCGAGTGTAATAATGAGTTTCAGTGGGAGCTGATATACAACGCTTAGAAGAACTACGAAAAGCAGAAGTAATGCAACAGTGGGGAGCAATATCTTCCACCACGAAGCCTACAATTGCAGCTGTAAACGGAGCAGCATTGGGTGGCGGTGCTGAACTTGCCCTTGCCTGTGACGTGGTCTATGCAGGAGAGCGAGCTCGTTTCGGGTTTCCAGAAATCGACCTTGGAATCTTGCCTGGGGCAGGTGGAACTCAACGTCTAGTTCGTGCCGCCGGAAAGTCACGAGCAATGGAAATGATCCTTTCTGGTGTGTGAAGTGACTTTATCACGAATTTATTGCTTATTCGGAAAACAAATTACTTAGTTACATTGATTTTACAGGAAAGGCTATATCAGCAAAAGAGGCATTGACTTGCGGATTGGTGAGTAAAGTTCATCCTGTGGATGAAGTAGTAAATGCTTCAGTTGATTTAGCAGAACGAATTTCCTCGCATTCGCTCGTTGCTCTAAGAGCGTCCAAAAAGGCGATTAATGCAGGTGACTAAGTCTTGACTACATTATTTACATTAATCTTTTTTGAGTAGTTTTAAATAATAGAAGTCCTTTATTCTCCAGCTTTTCAGATGTCTCTTAATGAAGGCCTCCACTTAGAACGGGAGTTGTTTCTCAAGGCTTTGTCATCTGTAGGTTAATGTTTGCGAAAATTTGATATTTTATGCCGGTATATAAAATATATTCATGCGAATTTCAGAGCGATGGTCAAGAGGGAATACAGGCCCACTTGGAAAAGAGGCCACCTAAGTTTAACCATAAATGACGTATATATTAAATAAACTTGTCTATTAGAACAATTTCTGGTTACTCTTATTCCCTTACCTAAATTTTAAGTGTCTATGAATGAACTGAGATTTGACTCAGTGCCTAGAGTGAGTACGTAATATGCTAGATGCAAAACTTTGAAATGGGGCAGCATCACCGGTTTAGAGAGGATTTCGGACCTTTATCACCAGAAACATTCGAGATATTTTACTATTTGTGCCTGACGGCAGAGGAATTTTGATTTAAATCATTGTGAAACCACTGCTTTAATTCAGATGAAACTATTAGTATCATTAAAGAAATTAAGATAAGAAATTTCAGTTTTGATGAGTTGTCAATGATATATTGATTTCATAATCAATAATGGGTCTGAAAAATTTTTGAATTCAACCTTTCAAATATCCTAATTTTTGCAGGTTATCAAATGCCTTATAAATATTCAATTAATTATTAGTAAAAGTTTTTGAATATAGAACATGAGTAACTTAATGTTATTTTTATGTAATAAACTTTTATTTGTTTTATGGTTAAAAGGTCAAGAGCGCCCGATGTATTCATTGAAGGAGGACATCTGATTACTGATGTGGGATGTCTGCAGAAGATCCGGCTATGATTCTTCCCCTTGACATGATCAATAAAATATTTGATTATCTTCCACATTCTCCCTATTTTGCAAATTTCGCAGTCCAATCTAAACGATGGAAGGATTTGTTACGACGTATAACTGAAATATCCTTTTTAATTTTTCATAGTTGTCATAAATTCTAGGGTAAAGATTTCACTCCGACAAATATCAGATTCACATGCCATACGATGGCACCCAGTTCCTCTACATAACGATTTTAACTTCAGATTAGGTGTTTCAACTGCTCTGTCTGGTCACACCTTATACCTTTTCGGCGGTCGTACCGAAGACGGTACCGCTATGAATGATCTCTCTACATTTGATCTTCTCACAATGGAATGGAATCGTCTTATTCCCTCTGGTATGTTGATGCAAAACATTATTCTCGAATTCTAGGTAACCGCCCCTTACCCCGTTCGGATGCAATAATGGGGTTTGTTGGAGAGGAACTCTTTCTATTCGGCGGAATAAGATGTATAATGGACCAGCCCATGTCTGTACAGTTCTTTATGATTGAGGTATGTCTTTTGTTTAATCTTCTAACAATTATTTTATCCTTTTTCTTCAGTCTAGTAGCCTCAGTGATCTATTCAGCTATCGCCAGTCGACTAATAGTTGGAACCAACTGCTCAAGGCAACAGAGACACCACGACTTTCTAAATACTACAGCGGAGCATTTTTACAGGCAGTTGACTCAGACCCGGATACCTTTCCACCTTTATTGGTTATATTCGAAAACACTGGCATGATTTATCGCACCCATGCAATCGAACTCAGGGGAATGTATCATTGGAATCGGCTTTCAGGGTGTCCTCAAAACCCATCATACAATTCTACACAAGCAATGGGTATTGACACTCCCTTGAATATTCTTCCTGAACGACCTCCAATGTGCGCCCTTTCAGAAACAGACGTTTTAATGGTGACACATTTTGCAATAAACGAATTGCCTACCTTCTGGATTCTTAGCAGAATTGGACGAACGCCGCAGTCAGGTAAGCATAACTCTTAAAATAATCTTAATGTTCGTGGGAAGTTCAGTATATTGAAGCACTGACCTTGGAAACTCTTGATCATTATTGATGTTATCTCTTTATTCATTTTCATTCCGATGACATGTTAGCATCCTGAAGCATTCAATTTCCCCTTTATGGACAACTAGGGCAAGGTTTTCGGAAGTCATTGTCTATTGTCTATCTTTTAATGTTCATTCCAAGTAAAATTTTAAAAATATCTAAATTTCGATAATCGGAGTGACTAATCAAATACTCGATTAGTATTTCGTATGAATGCAAAGTTACTTCTGGTTATAGATAAATTCACCTTGTGTTAAATAGAGAAGCTAATGTCCATATCTTTCATAAGCTTTGAAAGGTGCAATTAGTCAGAGGGTATTCACTCAATAATTCAGAGGAAAAGGTGTTGCTTTCTCATCTCGATGCTTCTACTATTATCGACCAATTGCTTCTTCTTCTGTTCCCGTTTTTAACCTCTACTTGGTGTATTTAATTTGTTACTTCCATGGTATATTTTTGTTATTATCTATTTAATATTATTATTTTCTAATCCTTGAACAATGTCAAATGTTTATTGATCAGTGCTTTTCAAACTAGAAGGGTCAGCCCTACCTTTCCAGTTCACTTCTTCTTTTGATGCATGAAAAGTGAAAATAGTCTCATGATTGCCAGCAGCTTACAACCTTAATCCTTTGAAGCACTTAATATTGAATACACCAAAGAATATTTCATCTTCCTATCACCAATAGCTCCAGGAATCGCCAAATGGGAGCGATCCTGGCTACCTCATTTATTTATTTATTTATATCAAATGGCAGGCGTCTTGATGGTTATCATTAGCCCTTTAGTTGACTTCAGGCTTCACAGAGAGGAAGGAACATCAAATTGGAAAAAGTCGAGAGGGGGGGGGGGAACAGAAGAATGTTTCAAAGATGTAAGAGACAAACACAAAGGTAGAAAAAAGGTGAGGTGAGTACCGTGTTAATAGTCGAATATGGCATAGAGTGAGGTGATGGTAGTTTGAAGTGAGAAGTCAACTGCCAGTTAATAGACTTTTTTGCCGTATGAATATACGTTGCCCAGGGTGCACCACGTGGAGGTAAGTCTCCCGCACACCCCTCCTGGCTACCTCATTAAAATAGGCAAATGAAAATTTAATAAAAAATAAACATGTGTGCGGTCCTCTTTCAAAATAAGCTCTTTTGGTACTAGACTCGCAACAGAAGGCCCCATTGTCGTTTGAAACATGCTCAATACGTCTATAGCCTTCGCCGGATATCGCTAAAACTCTTCACCTCGGCGGCATCAGTCTACACGTGAGTGCGGTTGGGTGGATTTTTCAAAAAAATAATTCGGGTGTTAAAGGGTTAAGATCGTTTTAGGTCAGCAGAACTCAGTAAGGCATGTAGTTAATCAAT